TCTCTCGCTTTCTTCACTACCGATGAACTATTCCCAATCTCTACTTCCGCTTTCCGAATAAAATAGGGACCTCAAAATTATCGTGAACTATGCCTTTAAGTCTCGAGGGTTTCACACGTCAAAATGATCATCGCAACTTCTTTTAAAATGTTATTTTTAATAAGTCATAGCTGACTTCAGTATTTGTTTTCTAAACGATTCGCAATCTAAAGCTTCGATCCAGCACAAACATCTGGAAAGCTAACGTAAAGATATATAGTTATGGCGAGCAAAAGGAATTAGAAAACAAACTCAATTACTAAGTAAAGCCTGAATATTTTACTAAATAACAATATTAAATTATATTACTGAATATTAAATAACAGGATACTCCTCCTCTCCTCTCCTTGAAGGTTGATCACAAAGTGAAACTAGGGCAGTTCAACTAGAGAGGCAGATCTGAGAAATGATAGATTGGGAACATTTTGTAAGAAACAATCCTGAATATTATCAAGAAAGGCATCATCGAACGACTCCCTTCCTAAAATGAAAACGAAAGGGCGAGTAAAACTTTCAGCCGCATTCAAGGTCTCTCAAGCCCTTCTAAGGCTCACAAAATTTGTGAAAGGGTCACTGCACGTGTATCGTCGTATATTTTCCATTCGCCACCGGATGAAGTCAAAGGAATCACTACAGACTCCAATAACTTCTAGTTTAGGTTCCACTTCTTTTTCTTGCTTTCTTCGACTCGACTCAAGCAGTGCTCACAGCAGGTAAAACATTCTCGTAATTATAGAAGACTTTTTTTCAATGTCTATAGTTGATTTTTGATGTTTCTGTAGTTATTCTTGGAAAACTTCGGAAGTGAGTTCAGGAGGAAGGCGATGTGCAAGTTTTGTTGCTCCGCAGGCTGCCGGTGGTATATCGCTCTCGTATCTGATTCCGAGCCTATCCGTCATTGTGGAACACTAATTTGTTAATCATAGACACTTTTCCTCACTAAAGTTGGATATCAGATTTTCAATATCTATTTGATATAGAAACACCCTCTTCCTACAGTATGGAAAATGACCTTGTTTTAAACCATAAGCACCTGCGCCGCACAACTTTATCTTATAATATAATTTCTAGTAAGATAGCTGCTGAGGACAAATGAGGGGTGTGAACCTATTGTGCTCTGGTTATTGGATAGTCGCCTGCCAATACAAACGCTTCGAATAGAAAGCCATGCTCTTGAAGATAAAGAAATGTGTGGACGGTTGTTTGTAATCAACTTGAGCGACCTGTGAAGAAGAAGGAGCTCTGTCGATACTTATGTGCTTGGTGATGGTGATCGAAGTTTGGATGCGCGCTTGACTGTGTATCTTATCACTGAGAATAAAACGTGAATCTATCACAACATCTTTCCACAGGAAAGCGTTTTCGTTCGAACAAGAAGAGAAGCAGAATGAGATTTTCAAAGGTATAAGACTCGTAAAGACGAAGCTTATGCAGTAGTGCACTTCGTTTCGAAGAGACGACGGCCACAAGCTGTCTCAGTAATGGCGAGAATTGTTGAAATGGCGGTTCTATTCGATCTTGTATGTTTCTGAACATTGTCAAAAGTCGTAATAGTAAAATGCAAAAAAAATGACGGAACTATTAGTAATGGAGTGTAATCATATCTTGAGTCGGATTCCCGGTCATCTTATTCATGTAGATTCACCACTAATGTCAGGTGACAGATAAATATACTTCCAGTCCCACTGCCCTGATTTTTGGCTCTGATAAACTAAGGTGAAAGTGGTTCATCCCTTACAGGACTTTATGCAAACCTTGAACATTAACGACAAGTGTTCCCTGCGCTGCGCTCTCTAATCCTTTTTATTGCCTCTTAAAGTAAGTCGTATTTCCAGATGAGTTTGTTGCTCGACCGATTTCGAAAGAAGCTCGCGAACTGACGGGTAAAGCGCTGGTCGACTATGTTAACGAAAATCAGCAATTTTTCAAGGTGCATTCCGAATCTTCTTTCGTAAAAATTCTAACCTTTTGCTAAATTGTGCTTCCATCGAGGTACTTTTGAATACTTTTGCCAAATCTTGATCATAACTCGAGAGTCTGAGAAGAGGAAGTGTTTGCCAGTTCTAGTCCTCTATTTTTTCACATGACTTTAATTCATATTGTTTTGTAACGCTTCAATTTCAGGCCGAATATTCACCAAAAGTTGCCCAAAGGCGCCTGGGAAGTTTGATGAAGAAGGAATATCTTGAAGATCCCATTCAAAAAGAAGCGATAGCGAGTGCAGAAGAGCCGGTCATAAACGATGGAATCCCGGAAAGGTGGCTGTCACGACTCGCTGATAAGCTGGTATCAGACAAACGGTTAACGTTATTCATCAAAAACTGATAGAAATGAAATTATCTCAAATAATGTAGCAATCTGTACGTCATTCAGAATCGAGAAAGCCTTAATCTCCAGGCACCCCATTTTGTACTGATATTCTCTCCAATCTGCTGTACTTACGATAAAAACACATACTAGTATGAAAATACCACAAACAAACNCAAATAATGTAGCAATCTGTACGTCATTCAGAATCGAGAAAGCCTTAATCTCCAGGCAACCCATTTTGTCCTGGTATTCTCTCCAATCTGCTGTACTTACGATAAAAACACATACTAGTATGAAAATACCACAAACAAACACTACATGTAGCAAAGTGCTGTAGCACTATGAAAACGAGCGTACTGACCAGCGCAAATCACTGGGTCGGCCACAACGCACCATTTCGATTTTTAATGGGAGTCGAGTATTGAGGTGCATCCTATGAACGAGATTGATTGAAGTTATAAGGTTTCATTCACGGTAAGCTCCGGTTACAAAAACGGTGTCGAGTGTTAGCATCAACAGGAGTCGTTCTTTTTCTTTGAAGAATTACCACATCTCTTCCATTATGCAATTTGGAGAGCTTCGTCAAGCGTTCTGAAAAGGATATTTCGAGAGCACTTTGTAAGCAACAAAAATTCAGAGCTCTACTTATTGATTTTATGGGATGTCGTAGATTCATTTGGTGCTGATATTTTGAGCTGAATATAGACTTTGTGTTCAGTTTCGATGCACGAACAAAATGGAACGAGTGTCCTTCAATTACGCAAATTCGTGATCAGTCGAATTGCGGTACGATTTCGCTCTCGTTGTTTTTGTGGTGATCGTTTCATACCGCATCTTCTACCTCACTCCTCTAACCTCGAGTCTACTTCTGTTTTTCTCAGAAGATAGTGCTAAATACTTTTACCGCTGCTGTTTTTTTCTAAAAGAGAGCTCAATGCAGGATGTCTTAAATTTAAAGGCGCATAACATTTGCAATGCGTGTGAATGTGTTTTAAGCTGAGAATTCGAATGGAAACTTTATACATATTTGCTCTCGTCATGTACAACAACAAACTATGGCCGCATTCGAAATATCCTCCATTAGCACGGATTGAGGCTCAAAGCCGGCTCTCAAATTCCTTGCATCTTGCATGCATGTACTCCTCCCCAACTCCTTTCTAGCCTTTCTCTTGAACTAGTGTTATCTTCTAGTGCCCTGTCTTTTCTGTCTCTTCTTGCGTTGTTTCGGATTAATTCTTTTTCTCTATATTGTTCGACAGCTTGCTTTACTGTCATTCTAGGAATCACAAACTTTACTAGGCCATTGCGCCTCTTGTATGCAAATGACTGCAAAGGCCATTGAATGATTCAAAATATTCTGAGAGTCTTATCCCACAAATTGTGCGGACCTTGAAGTGTGAAAAGTTGGGCGACTAATTTATAGCGAGTGAATTCAAAGGATCATTTCTGCTTGAATGTTTCTGGATTTGAGCGCGTGTAATTTTGGAGGCACTGTGCAGCCCAACGTTCATGATTGTGTTTGTTATAACGGAATATCGTCACCTTTGAGATGTGTGAACCATATCCAATGAAGTGATTCTGCTTTCAATCTTTCTTGTTTACAGGATCATGCTGGGCTGTTTCAGCTGCAGAAACCATGTCCGATCGTCTCTGTATTCATTCAAATGGTACAATAAAGGTTGGTTGGAAATTTTTTGCAATGTTTTGTATTAGAGCATAATGCCTTTGATAAATTGAAGCATGCATAAATACGTAATTAGAAAAAACAATGTAAGTAAGGCACAGGGCCTCAGAGAAAATTTGTGGCTGTGAATGAGTGTACGATTCCAGACGATGATTTCGGACACTGACCTCCTGTCATGCTGTGGATCATCCTGCGGATACGGGTGGACTATTTTTTTTCATCAAAAATCTAGGATTTCCTGATCGTGTTAGCATAAATACATGGATAGTGTTGTGGAGGACAATTGCACAGAAATAAATGCTGTGTAGTTTGTCGTGCACGACTATCTCCACACCAAGTAATGATTGGGATGACCATCAGAAACGTTGAGAGGGAATCCTCTGAATAGCCCTCATTAAGGGCCTCTTCCTTTGCAGGTGCGAAGGAGGATCCATCTATCGGGCCTGGGTCTATGCTAAGAGACACGGTGTATGCAGCGGAGGACAGTATGGAGCAGAGGTAGGTGGAGGAGGTGTGATGCGACGTCCAAAGTTTTATAAGGCTCATGAACTAGCCGCTACACCTTCATGATACTTACCACTTCATTACAACACCAAAATGCATAAATATCCGTGATTCTATTGTAATTGGTACAGACGATTGCAACTTTAATGTCTTTCAGAATGTCTGTAAACCGTACGTTTTCCATCCATGTGGATGGCATCAAGGTCAGAAATACTACGGTGAATGTCCAAAGCACATGTATAAAACACCAGTCTGCAAGAGATATTGCCAATACGGATACGGAAAACGTTACGAAAACGACAAGTTCTACGGTAATCCCAACGATAAACAAAATGTTCGTCGTCGCTGTGTGCTCAACTTCTCGTTCAGTAAAAGCGGTGTACGGGATATTCAGTTTTGAACCTGTGCGAGCCATACAAATGAACATCATGAAAAGAGGACCTGTTCAAGCGGCATTCACTGTTTATGAAGATTTTGCTCATTACAAAAGTGGTGTCTATGTGGTAAGTTTATGTTTGTTCACTTCCGTACAGTCTTAGCTATTTTGGAAACAATGCGCAAGCCCGAATTGAAGTGGAAATATGAAAATCACTGAAATTATAAACCTTAACGGTTTCTTCTCCCATATTTCAGCACACGGCAGGCAAAGATACTGGAGGACATGCTGTGAAGATCATAGGATGGGGAGTTGAAAATGGCACGAAGTACTGAACGGTTGCCAATTCATGGAATACTGAATGGGGGGAAAATGGTATGTGATGATGGCTCATTCTCGCATTCATAATTGTTGCTTCCTTCTATCAGCAAACGAAGAATGAGTGTAAAAACTCGATAAAATCATAAGAGATGGGTCAATTTCAAATCATCGGCGAGGGGTTCCGATCTGTCAGTCTATATCAAATTCTAAAGGAGTGTAATGATAAGGCATTCTCCTGGGAAAATTCTCAGCTGTTATTGGTTGATAAACAAGAAGGAAGCTCGAAAAGCTGTTGAAGTGATTCTGAACCGATACTCTATTCCCCTTTATCCACACTGTTGCCTAGTCACCATCAGTTATGGGTCAACACGTTGACGACAATGTCGCGCAATGCTGCGCGACGGTGCATTCCTCGTTTGAAGTGTGTGTGCTCGTTCCGTTTTTTTGGGCAGATTTTCAATTTGGGCTAATAAGTGTCCAAAATAGCATCGGCCACCTATTAAATTAGTTCCAAGATGAATAATACAAATACAAGACAGGATCAACGGCAGGAGCCATATCGTCGTCTAAACCACCTGCAGCATCATTGTCGCTGTCGAGCAGGCAGTGGTCAAAAATTTCGTTGAGCCTTCCATTTCAATATCCGGGACACTCATGATGACAAAAATAGTCGTAAGGATAATCATGCTCTCAGATCATCCTATTTATATACCCCTAATTAAAATTTATCACCGCCAAATGTGAAATTACCCCGAGTAATCAAATCTTGGGCAAAATTCGAATACTGCTGGAATGACTGCGGATTTCAAATGTTCTTGAATGTAATCACTCATTTTTCGAGAAATAACAAGTTTACAAGAAAGAAACTGTGTCGTCCCACGGGACAGGCACGAAAAAATAGGCTCGTTGTCAACGTATTAAGTAGTTACTCATTGAAAGTACACTCCGTGCTATGATCATCTATTCCGACTTACAAAGAAGACATTTTATACAGTAGGACTCTAAATCAAGTAACTAAACTGGAAATTTTCATGCAATCGTGGACCGAGCCCTGAAGAAACATGAAATTTTCATTCTTTCAATGATCTCATGGGTATGGGAGGGAGAGCAAACCTCTTCATAGCTTAGCGAGAGCACGATTCGTGCTCTCGCGGAGTGAAATCTCGATTGTTATCCGCAATCGAGATAGTGAGTCCCAATTATAATTTAGAGACGCAGTTAATCGGGGGAGAGGGAGAGGGGAAACTTTATTCTGTAAAAGCTACAATTTTGCTTATTGCGATTCGCAGCTTCACATAATCTTGATAAATGCTGGCAACTACCCTGTTACGAGTGCATTCCACAGAGAACTAGAGCAACCTCAGTCTGGGTCTCTTGCTAGTCTCTTGCTGCTACGCTTCTTCACATTTCCACATGCATACAGTACTGTTATTTGACAGTATTCTTACGACCCTAACGAAATGGTCTAATATGGTTTTTTTATCATAAGGCTATTCTCTTAAGGTTATTTCCGTATTCTCCGTTGAAAGAACCACTGCGGCATCGAAGCACAAGTTTATGCTGGAGATTTTTGATTGCGAATAACTGATGGATGTTCGACACTCCACTAATCTCAATGTGACCAGTTTACCAAATTTCTCTTCACTGTGTTTGGTGTTTGAGCCTGAGGTATGGCAATAAAGCAATTTTAACGTCTAATGTGTTGGCAAAGTCACCTTCTTCGAACCCTTGGAACAGGAGTAGCTGCTGATAGGCACGCTCTCTCTGTACGTAGGTGAGGCCCAAATGTCTGGCGAAAATTTTATTTTGTTATAGATCTTGTATGCTCAGACAATGACGCACTAGGTAACGTTAAGTAGGGTACCGTCCATGTAAAAGCTCTGAAATAGTCGATATAGCCGCGTTGCGCTGTAGGATTACGGCGTAAGGCTGCAGGTCTAAAGTATCTCGTCTCCATCCACAAAATCATTTTGGCTTGATTGGAGGGTAATGCCTTTTTTTCTATTGACTGCTGCTTTCTGAAAAATCAGTTTTGGAGACCTATTATGCGACTTCATTTTGTCACTCTCACTGTTCTCCATTGATTAGTAGATTACTACGAAACCTAACTTTGTCCTATGCTCAATCAGAAACGGCTAAATCGGTGAGTTAGAGGCTATTCATTTGGCTACCTAAGCTATTCAGTCCTACCTTTGGTTTGGCCTGTTAGTAACGCCCAAGCTTCTCTCAGGGGATTTCTCTCACAATTGGCTTGGAACCAAGGAGCAATATTCTAGATACTGACGCGAACAGACAACTGTATCGAAACGAATGTACTCGGTTTCATGTGATTTTGCTATTCGATATTTTGAGCCTTTATCCTATCCGGACCGCTTCCAAACTGATACTGAGTCCCTACTATGCCTTGTTGGAAACTATAGATTACTACCATCACGAGTTCTAATAATCCGAACTGTGTCTATGAAAGAAGAAGTCCACCAGAGTGAAAGGCATTCTATCTCCGAGCTGGTACTTCAGGTCTTACTCATCTCTACCTCCATCCTTTTCCACGACTCCTTCGAGAAAGTGCTCACAATAGGTATGAGGCTATCTATTTATGCTTGAGAGTGGTTGTCTTTTTGCTGCAAGGGTACTTGATCGTTACTCTGAGACCTAAACTTTGAAAACCATCCAGCTATACACAGTAGCTCATAATTTAATCCATAAAAGTCCGAGTAAGTGTTTAACGCTCTCCCAGAGGAATTTGCTGGCCAGCCACACCCAAATATGCTGAGGAGCTGAGCGGCGTCACAACATCGTCTAGAAAAAAGCGAACTTTGAGCTTTTCCTCACTATAATTTTCTACCCCATAAGGCTGAAAAAATGGGTTATTTTGCTGTTGCTAGCGTTTCGGGCAACTTATGCTTGTGAGTGAAGGAGTTTGAAAGGACATTTTTGCTCACTGTAGTCAGCCCGCCAGGTCCTACACGTACGCAATGACGCCCATTGTAGAGCTCGTCCAAACGCCCCACTCTTCTCCATTTTTCTGGTCTCTTTCTCGTCCAGCCTCCTTCCAACAATTTTTTCGAAGCTTTTCCTTTTTGGGAACACTGATTCACGCAGTTTCTTCGCCATCGCGCTATTTACCATGTTATCTTCTATTTTTCGCCATAATCTAGATTACCCAAAATTATCGTGAACCGTGCATTTAAGCTGGGACCATACTCCTTCGTAGGTTTATCTGGATTTCATACTATGTAAATTAACTTGCATTCATTCATGCATTTATCCTTTCTTTGTTGTGACCATTGAGCTAAATTATGCTTTCGAGCTCCCAGTATGAAGGATGAAATACGTAAAACGTAATCGTTTTTTGCTATTATGCTATGACATGCCGTGTGATAAAACTCTTAGGCGATAATAGATGCACCCTTTCAATCTCCTTATAAAACGATCGAGTAGAGTTGATCGAGCTGCTTAACTTCAAGGCCCGGAATGTTGGTGAGCTCATTTTCTCCTTTATTGCGCTCGTTTAAAAAGTTATGGCAATAACTCAGCCGGATATGCTTCACCCTAGCCTTTCTTCACCATAATTGAGGATGAATTCATAAGAACAGTGTCAAATATAGTGTACTTGAGTCTCAAGGGTTTCATACGTCAAAATGGCCATCGCAACTCTTTTGAAGGGTTATTTTCAATAAGTCACGGCTGATTTTCTTGCGCTTATTCGAGTGATTTAAATGATTTGCAGCCAAGAACGTCGTTCTTGTGTAAAAATCTGGAAAGCTAATATAAAAATAAATAGTTATGGCGAGCAAAAGAAAATAGAACACAAGAATAACGCCTGAAAATTCTACTGAATAAGAAAATACTCCTCATTGCCTCTTCTTGTAGGTTGATCACAAAGTGGAAGTGGAGTTAACGGGCAGTTAAACTAAAACTAGAGAGGCAGATCGAAGAAATGATAGATTGAGAACATTTTATAGGAAACAATCTCGAATATGATCAATCATCAGCAATTACTGGAGGAACGAAGCAAGCGCCCCATTCCCATAATGAAAATAAAAGGGCAAATAAAACTTTCAGCCGCATTCGAAGTCTCTCAAGCCCCTCTAGTTCACGAAATTTGTGAAAGGGCTACTGCACCTGTATCGCCGTACTTTTCCAATCGCCACTAGATAAAGTCAAAGATGACTACAGACTCTAACGACTTTTACTTCAGGTTCTACTTGTTTTTCTTGCATTCTTCGTCTCGACTCAAGCAGCGCTCACAGCAGGTAGGACGTTTTCGTACTAATAGGACAACTTCAAATAAAACTTGTTTGTTAGTGAATTTCAACAACAATGCCTATGGCTGATTTTTGATGTTTTTGTAGTTGTTCCTGACAAACTTCGAAATTAGTGGATTCACAAGGAAGACGATGTCCCCGCTTTGCTGTCTTGTAAACTGCCACTGGTATATCGCTCTCGTATCTGAATCTGGGCCCATCCATCCTTGTCAACACTAATTTGCCGATTATAAACACCTTTGCTGGTTATGAAAATTTACCTATTATATTTCCAATACCTATTTTGTTTTTGAAGACCCATTTCCTGCAGTACGGAGAATGGCCTTGCTCCAAACCATAAGCACGTGCGCCACATAACTTTTTTCTCCTAATATATCGGCTCTAATAAGAAAGCTGCTGAAGACAAATGAGGGAAGTGTAAAGAGAATATGCTCTGGTTATGAGACAGCCGCCTGCCGGTACAAACGGTTCAAGAGAAATGTCACGCTCCTGAAGATAAAGGAATGTTTGGACGATCATTTGAAATCAACTTGAGTGACCTGAAAAGAAGAAGGAGTCATGTCGATACTTGTGCGCCTGGTGATGGCGATCACCGCTCCGATGCCTGTTTGACTCTGCTCAACCTGCACAGAGGAATTGGATGGCTGGAACATCTCATCACTGCCAATAAAAAGTGAATCTATTACAACACTTTCCACAAGAAGCGTGGTCGTTCGGACAAGGAGAAACGACAGATGAGATTTCCAAAAATATGAGACTGTTGAATTCGGACCTTTTGTAATATGGGTGCATTTCGCCGCGCTCCGGAAAAATAACATCCACAAGCTGTCTCAATATTGGCGAAAAATTATAACGAGGGCGGTTCCATTTTATCTTTATGCTTCTGTACATTGTTAAAACTCGTAGTAAAAAAATTTGTCCAAACTATTAGTATTTCAATGTAATCATATCTTATGCATCCAACCGCCCACGACGTAGGTCAGAAAGCCGGCCATTTAAAGATGTATGTTCACCTCTAGTGTCAGGCGGATGATTAGTAGTCCCAGTTCTACTGCCCTGATTTTTCGGCTCCGATAAAATGAAGTGAGGTAGAGCCATCCCTGATAAGACTTAATGTAAACTTGAACTTCACGGACTGCGCTCACTGAGTTATCGTTCCAACATGTTCTCTAATCCTTTTTTCCCTTCAAAAGTAATTTGGATTTTCAGGAGAGTTCGCTGCTCGACCGATCTCGAAAGAAGCTCGTGAACTGACGGGTAAAGCGCTGGTAGACTATGTAAACGATAATCAACCGTTTTTCAAGGTGTATCTTTCTTTCTTTTCTGCATGTTTCTTGCATCTTTCTTCTTCTTCATACGTAGAAATGCTAAACTTCCCCTAGACTGTGTTTTCTACAAGATAACTTTGAACACTTCTCTGTTAAGAAGTCTTGATCATACCTAGATCGAAATTCTGAGAGAAGAAAGTGTTTTTCAGTTCTAGTCCTCTATTTTTTCGTATGATAGTAATTCAAATTGATTTGTAACGCATTCTAGGCCGAATATTCAGCTGAAGTTGCTCAAAGGCGCCTGGGAAGTTTGATGAGGAAGGAGTTCCTCAAGGATCCCATTCAAAAGAAAATAATAGCGAATGCAGAAAAGCCGATCATAAACGACGGCATTCCTGAGAGGTGACTGTCATGAACTGTTGATAAGCTTATCAGCTTACTTAATATCAGGCAAACTGCTGACACTATTTTCCGAAAAACTAATAGGAATGAAATTCTCTCGGAGTCAACAGATGTGTGCAAGTGGTGCAGCAATCTTTACGCCATTCAGAATCGTATTCTCTCCCATCAGTCTTCCTCACCATAAGATTGCATGGTAGTTTGAAAAAAAATGTGAAAACTATATATAACAAAATACTATAACACTGACCAGCGCAAATCAGTGGTCACAAAGCACCGTCTCGATTATGAATGTGAGTTGGATATCGCGGTGCATCCCATGAAAGGGATTGATCGCAGTCAGAAGGCTTCATTCACGATAGGCTCTGGTTACGAAGACGGTTCTGTGTGTTAGTATCAACACCAATCATGGTTGTTCATGAAAGATCCACTACACTTTCAATTTGCTCATGCAACTTCGAGAGCTTCGTGAAGCGTTTGAAAGAATTATTTCGAGAGCACTCCTAGCTTTTTTGCAAGCAAGCAAACAAATGGAACTTTATTTATTGATTGCATAAAGTTCTGTATTCATTTGGGTCTGGAATTTCGAGCAGAATGTAGAGTTTGTGTTCAGTTTCGATGCACGAACAAAATGGAAGGAATGCCCATCAATTACGCATATTCGGGATCAATCCAACTGCGGTACGATTTCATTCCCGTTGTTTTCGTGCTGATCGTTTCATACCGCATCTTCTTCCTCACTCCTCTGACCTTGAGTCTACTTCTATTTTTCTTAAAGCAAGTGCTAAATACTCTACCGCTACTATTTCCCTTTGAAGAAGAGCTTATCTGAAGGACGACTCAAGATTAAAGGCGCGTATTTTTTTGCAAGGTGTGTGAATGTGTTCTAAGCAGATAATTGAACTGAAAACTATATGAGCATTTGCTCACATTTTTTACAACAACGAACTATGATTACATTTCAAAATATATCCCATCAGCACGGATAGAGCCTCGAATTCTGCTCTTCAACTCCTTGCGTATTTATATTCATGCCCATTCCTTTCCAGATTCACTCGTGGACCTTGAAATAGTCCTATCCTCTGGAACTCTGATTTTCTTCCTCTTCTAGCTTTGTCTTTGATTGATTCTTCTTCTCTATACAGCTTCTTCAACTTCTTCATTCTTCTTCGACTGTTTGCTGAACTGTCATTCATGGAATCTATGCCATTGCGCCTCTTATACGCAAATGATCGCAAAAACCATTGAATGCCTCTTTCCAGAAGTTGTGCATACTGCGAGAAAAGTTAGTTTTGCCACTAATTCGCGGCGTATGAATTCAAAGGATCATTTCAGTCTTAAAAGTTTCTGGACTTTGGCGCCTGTAAGTTTGGGGACACTGTACAACGCAACGTTCATGATTGTGCTTGTGAGAGCGGAATTTCACCAACTTTGAGATGTGTGAACCATATTCGAAGAAGTGATTCTGCTTACTCTATTCGATCTTTCTTGTTTACAGGATCATGCTGGGCTGTATCAGCTGCAGAAACTATGTCCGATCGACTCTGTATTCATTCAAATGGTACAATAAAAGTTGGTCAAAATTTTTTTACAGTGTTATGTATTAGAACGTACTGCCTTTACTAAATTGAAGATACAGAAATACGTAACTCGGGGAAACATCTCGAATCCAGCGCAGGGCCTAAGACAGCATTTGTGTTTGTGTATGAGTATTACGATTGCAGACGATGATCTCGGACACCGATCTTCTCTCATGCTGTGGATCATCCTGCGGATACGGGTGGATTACCTTTCAATTCTAATTGTGCCAATTAGATTTTGGTGTTCAATTTAGAATTCTGCGAAAATGCTTGTATACAAGATACAAAATGGGGTTGAGAGCGAATGAAGAATCTGATACTGTCTATAAATCTATGTCGATTGATAAACAGATGACCATCAAAAACAGTTAGGATAGCGCTCATTGAGGCCCTCTTCATTTGCAGATGCGAGGGAGGCTTTATCTACTATGCCTGGGTCTACGCCAAGAAACACGGTGTGTGCAGCGGAGGACGGTATGGAGCAGAGGTAAATAGAGGAAATGTCTGATGACGTCGAAGACGTCCATTACCCTTAAGAATAGTCGTTGATTTGTCACGATACTTACCATATCATCAAAACGCCAATGGCAATAGTTCTTCATGGAACGGTACAGACAATTGCAGCTTTGACGTCTTTCAGAAAGTCTGCAAGCCGTACGTTTTCCATCCATGTGGATGGCATCAAGGTCAGAAATACTATGGTGAATGTCCAAAGCACATGTATAAAACACCGGTTTGCAAGAGATATTGCCAATACGGATACGGAAAACGTTACGAAAGCGACAAATTCTATGGTAATCCCAACAATAGACAAATGTTTGTCGTCGCTGTGTGCCCAACTTCTCGTTTAGCAAAAGCAGTATACGGGATCTTCAGCTTTGAACCTGCTATACAGATGAACATTATGAAAAATGGACCTGTTCAAGCTGCATTTACTGTTTATGAGGACTTTGCTTATTACAAAAAAGGTGTCTATGTGGTAAGTTTATGTTTGATCACTTCCGCATAGTTTTAGCTGTTTGGGAGACAATACGCAAGCCCGAATTGAAGTGGAAATATGAAAATCACTGAAATTATAAACCGTAAGTGGTGTTTATGTAGTAAATGCATGATTGGTCAAATTCCAAGTTCTCTCATCTTGAAACCTCGGCATTTCCGTTGTTCTTGAAAATGTTAGTTGAAAAAATGAAACTAGCATGTTTGGTCACTTTCGAAGAGTCTTGACTGTTACGGAGACAGTGCGCGAACCCGAATTTGAGTGAGAATGTGAAAATCACTGAAAATATAAACTGCAACGATTTCTTCTCCCATATTTCAGCACACGGCAGGTAAAGATACCGGAGGACATGCTGTGAAAATTATAGGATGGGGAGTTGAAAATGGCACAAACTACTGGACGGTTGCCAACTCATGGAATACTGACTGGGGAGAAAATGGTTTGTGATGTTACCCTATTCTCGCTCTTGGAGTAGCTGTTTTCTTTCGTTAGCAAACGAGCGATGAGAGTTAAAGCTTAGTAAAATTACCCCAGAGTTGAGATGATTTCCAACTAATGGCTAGAAGTTCCGCCCCGTCAATCTATATCAAATTTTAAAGGACAGTTCACGATAATCCTGAGGTACCAGTTTTAAGAAGTAAGCAGGAAGTGCTGATGTAGAGTATGAACCGGTGGCGGAGAAAGCGAAAGAACCCGGCTGCCTAGCGAAAATAAAGCTTTCCAAAAGTTGTGCAAATAGATCTTGTACGAGATTAGCATGACGGAAATGGCATGGAAGGGGTATTCGGAAGAAATTTTAGTTGTTGCAATTACGCAAAGAACTGACTACATCAAGCCAAAACTGTCCAGAATCGCCTTTCACTGTCGCTACGGGTCATGATAAGTTGTTTGTACTCCCAACGTAAAGTCCCTTGATATAGGTAGCCTCTACGATGCTGTTGATACTCCCCTGCTGTACTCGATTCAGAACATTTCTCGACCTGGCTCCGGCACATATGGTATCAGGAGGGAACTCGAAGACGTCCTGCAGGGTAGACTTAGAAACCATTTTTTTGTGAACTGTGCCTCCAAAAGTGTAAGGATAAGGCATTCACTTGCACTATAAAGATCAATGAGGGTCAGATATATTTCATACGCTGCAACCATATTGAAAAGTTGTCGGGTGCGTTGCAAATCAGGAAGAACTGAGGATTCGAAGTGAGAAATACAGTGAATATAGAAGCCTTTCAATGATCGTCTTTTCTGAAGTTCTGTGCGGGCACCCCTTAGTTTCAGTTTAAAATAAGCAACTAGAGAAAACTCCCAGCTATTACGAGTTGATAAACAAGAGAAGAGATGAGAGCTGTTGAAATGAATCTGAATCAAAATTTTATTTTTTCTTTGCCGACACTATGTCCCAGTCACCAGCAGTCGTGAGTTGAGTAGTTACTCACCGAAAGCCCTTTTCTAGCTATGATCATCTTGTCCGACATCAAAATGAGGACATTTTGTACAGCAGGACTCTAAACAAAAAACCAGCCGAGAACTTTTTGTGCAATCGTGGGCCTGGCCCTGAAGGAACATAGTATTATTTCATCTAGTGACCTCGTGGGCATGGGAAGAAGAATAAACGCCTTTATAGCTCAGCGAAAGCACAAAACGCAAAAGATCTGTGCAGGAAGTAAAATTTTGAATTCGAATACTGATAGTGAGCCAGAAATATAATTTAGAGACGGAGTCAACCGGACGAGAGAGAGAGGAAAAGCTTCATTCTGTGACAGCTATAGTCTTGCTTATTGTGATTCGTACTCTGTTACGAGTGCAATCCACAGAAAACTAAAACCACTTCATTCTGAGACTCTTGCGCTTACTTCACATTTCCACATGCACACATTACTGTTATTTGAAAGCGTTTTTATGACCCGAATGAAGTGTTCTAACATGGTTTCTTTATCATAAGGCTATTTTCTTAAGGTTATTTCCGCATTCTCCGTGGAGAGAACCACTGCGGCATCGAATCGCAAGTTTTTGCTGGAGATTTCTGAAGGTGGATAAACTGATGGATGACCGACTTTCCACTAATCTCAATCTGATCAGTTTATCAAAGTTTATCTTCACTGTGTTTGGTGCTGACAATAAAGCAATTGCAATTGCTAGTGTTCTGGCAAAGTCGTCTTTTTTGAAGCCCCACAACGACGAAGCTGCTAGTAGGCACCCTATCTCTGTACGGAGGCAAAGCCCAGATGTCATACGACTAAACTGTGTGTAGTTTGTTGTAAATCTCGTACGCTTGGCCAATGAAACACCAGGTAACATTGAGGGACGGAACATTCACCTAGAACTAAATGGCGCGACGATATTCGTGGCGTTTATAACGACTTTACCACCTATCATTGGGGCGGAAACTTGAGGTAGAGTACGTTAGTATGGTCAGATGATCGTACTAATCTGCCCTACTTCAAACGAGCCCCAATATAGGCGCTAAAGTCGTTTAAATCGCCACGGACTTCGCTGCGCGATTTCCTGAGTCGATCCAGTTCTTTGTGAAGGTACCCATACCCAGTAACATTGAGCAGGATACTGTCGATTGCGATATGTGGAAGCTTCGAAGCAGTCGTTATAACTCATTGTGCTGTAAAATTATAGCATAAGAAGAAGAAGCATTTTGGTTTAATGGGAGAGTAATGCGTTTCTTCTATT